TAGACGGAGGAAAGTTTTTCTAAATATGCCACAACTTCATTCTTCCAGGACCCCCTCGCTGGGTAGGCAGAAAGCAAGACTAATCCTTGAACTCATTTCCTGATGGAGTCACAGCCTTCCCTCACTCTTCTCCCCACTCGTTCTTCCTCTATTCCGTGTAGGATGATAAGGATTCCCAAGCCTCAGGAAGCCAGTGTGCTTGTAAAGGTAACCCGGTCAGTAAAGCATTGTCTGAATGTATCAGCAGCCTCACCTCAATCTGTGCTGGATTCCAATTTGAGATAGTGACTCAAATTAGCCCTAAAGTGGGGGAGCGAATGTGAGAAGGGCTGAAGTCCTATTGGTCCGGGGAAGTGTGAGGAACGACTTCTTCAAAACCATGCTTATGTCATCTGCCACCACCATCACCACCCACTGCAGGGGTTGACTGATGGGTATTGGGTGCTGGACCTCCCTAGGGACAGTGCTGGGGAGTGGTTAGTGCAACCTAGTCCTGCCGCTCATTAATCAATTTTTTGTTACTTCTCCATACCCCCTCCTTTGCTAAACTACTTTTAAGACAATTGGTGCTGGTCTCATAGCTAGTCAATGCCCACATGCTTCCTTCCTCCCACTCGAGGACCCTGGTCTTAGATTAAAGGTACTTGATTCTGGAATCCAGTGGACATCTGTGGGCAGACTGTAGTGTATGCAGATATGAGTAGTGCACTGGGAAATAGGAGGTCCAACCTGGCTTCATCACCAACTGGTTATTATTTAAGGGGCCATGTTGTTTCTGAGCCTTGTGCAACATGGGATAATGATCCTTCCTTCTTGGCAGACTTGTGAGGATCAAATAGGATCAGGTGAGTAAAAGCCTTTGGAAACCGCAGAATGCAATTTCAACCTAAAGTATTCTACTGGGCTGCTATGTCTTTGTGAGGGTGTGGTGGCACTGGCAAGACCCCAACACTGGGCACTTAGGCAGAATAACGGGAGGGGAGCACACCTTTCTGAGCAGATCTGGGACTGGGGCTGTTGAGGGGTTCTTTGCTCAGGGACTCTCTCAAGAGCTTTAGGTATCTAAGATGGAGTGAGAGGTAGAAAAGAGAAATGGTAGGGATATTCTGAAAATACCAAGTTGATTGCAATTCTAACCTATCTGGAGAAGATGGTCAGGGGAGGAGAAACCAGACGACTGATAGTACAGTTTTTTAGTATCTTAGAACTCATCGAGTGCACCCCACCCCCAACCTATTTTATGGTAGGAAGGTGAGACCCAGACCACATATAGCCCAACAGTAGTGAGTGGTGGGTGCCCTCTGTTCATCTTCTATGGTGCAGGATAGAAAAACAATGACTAGCAAAGGTCAGGAAATGTGAGTTCTGGATCTGAATCCAAGATTGGGTAAGTTACTTAGCTTCTGTGCCTGTTTACTCAGTTGTAAAATTAATAACAGTATCCACCTCAGGAAGTTGTGAGATTAAATTGGGCAACTCAGAAGATTGTGCTTATCACAGTATCTGGCCAGTTAGCACTCAATAAATGGTATTCCCTTTTCTGTCCTCTGGACATTTCCCTTAGTTATAAATTGAAACTATTAGAATAATTCTTACCTGGAGAGCTTTCTCTCCCTCCCTAGTAGAGTGCATGACAATCACGTGGGTTCCTCCCCCCTCCACCAATAGCACATATTTACCAGGCTTTTATTCTAAGGCAGTGGTTTTCAAAAGTTGTGTTGCATGGTAATATCCAGAGAGTTTGCCAAAGTGCAGATTCCTGGGTCCCAGTGATTGACTCAGTAGGTCAGGAGCTGGCCCCAGGAATCTAAGTTTTGACATGATTCTGACACAAGTGGTCCACAGAATGTGTGTGTGGTGGGGGGCAATAACCCCTAACAGACTCCGTTGTTCCTGAAGGACATGACAGGACAGGATGTATCTCATTTGTTTGGGACCAGGGGACATTTTCTGTTCTTGAAGCAGGAGGTGAGGGAAGGAGAATTCTCCTCACACCGAACATGAAGACTTCCGCCCCACCTAATACTGTTCTCTACTGTCATCCTTCTAATTTTAAGCCCTGACTAAAAATTCATTCCCCACTATTACCTTGCCCTCTCTCCCTTAGTCCTCAAAATAATTCAAAGTAGCAACTGCTGTGGTAGCAATTGTCATCATTTTCATACCTCAGGACGTTGCTAAAAGGGGCAGCCCACGACTGCCATGGGGGCATGTGAGCTCTGAACTGCAGATCCATTGTATTCCATTCTGAACTGCTTATTTCCAGAGAAGCCAGGAATCTGATTTGTGTGGGTGAAATTCTGAAAACCTTAAGTATCAAAAATTGAGTATTTTTAAAAATCCAATAGGCCAAATCCAACAGGTCTGTAGGAGCAATTCAGTTCATTTCTGAGTCTCCTTTTTTTTTTTTTTTTTGCCAAAAAAGGGATCCCTTTAAACACCAAGAGCAAGGCAGAGTTAGACTGTAGCAAGGGAGAACTATCCTCCCATCCTGTTTCTGCTGTAAAGGTCCTAAATCCAGTAAGCTGGGTGCCTGGTGGTGACTGGGGGGAAGGGGGGTTGGTAACTCCAGCTTTTTCATCTTAGACAAGTGCTATGTGTAGTGAAGAACTCAGGATTAGGGGCAATTTAAGGGATGTTAGTCTGATTGGCTCAGGGCAGGCTGGAGTATTTGTGCTGTATCCCCTAATCCTAATTCCTACTCAATTACTAACCTCCCTGGGGGCAACCGTGCATGAGGGTTAGACCAGGGCCTCCTGTAATCTTTCAGAAAAGGAACAGGTTGGTGAACCTGCAGAGGCAGGGCTGAAATCAGTGCAGGGTGGGCCACAGGTGGAGGCACCAGAAGTAGGGCAAATAGCAAAAGTGGACCTAGTGACAGCTTAGGAACAACTAACTGTACTCAAAAACTGGAGGGGCTCCTTAGGCCTTGGCTGGATCCTTGTGGAGTAACATCAACCCCAGAAACTCTGTAGATGAGGTCAGGGCTGTAATAGGGTTTCTTCTGTGCAGGCTTGGGCCTCTACCCAAGGTTGAGCATCATCCCACCCTTCAAGCTGGTAGTTCAGAGGGTCTACAGCAGTTCTGGAGGAGAAAGCAGAGAACCCAAGACACCAGAGTCTGACAGGAGACTAGCACACAACCCTCAGGGATCAGGACGGAGAACCCTAACTCTGTAGCCCAGGCAGAACCATGCCAGGGGACCTCTTCCCAAAACTTCTCAGATGTAAACTCTTCCAACTCAGCCACCAAGGCCTCCTTCCCTTCAGCTTGGGACTTAAGACTTCTACCAAACGTGTGCACTCACAAGCTTGTCCTGGAGACTCACAACTGCAAACACTTCCCTGTTTGGTGCTTCCCTGGAGGTTGTATGGAAGGCCAGAAATCCAGACTTCGGTTTCAAAATGGGTTTTTCTGTATAAGGAAAAGATGCTCAAAATCCAAATCACCACTTTATTATGTGGCAGTCACAGTGCCAGCCCCTGCTTTTCCCATGCCACCCTCCACTCATCCAGGGGTCCACTGGCCTTTTTCACATTTGAGTATCAGATGTCATGTTTGAGTATCCTGCTCCCTTTTTTCTTGAGTGCAGAGCTGGGCTTATAATAATTTGAGTCTAAAAAACTGATATGTCTCTTAATTGGTGATAGTGAGGAACACTACAGCACTTGAGCTCCCAGAACAGGGGAAAGACGGGGAGGCTGGAGTCCAGAGGCTGCCCCAAGGTCATGTGGGGGTAGGGGATGTAGGGGCAGAGCCCCTGTTCATCTTTCACTCTGCAAACTGGTCCAAGAACTTGAGGTAGACCTGGCGCTGGGCTGCAGCTGCTGGAATGAAATGGCCACCGGAGTGGGTGAGGTTGATGGCTCCAGTGAATCGGCTAGCCAGTTGCATACTTTCCTCAGGGGGGATGACACAGTCAGTGTCCCCGAAAACATGGAGGGAAGGCAGCGACAAGGGGCCCTGCAGGATGGGTTCTTTGAGTCCAAGGCCCCGGGGACAGAAACCAGACACCAGGATGATAAACCTTGGCAAGGGAAAGCGAGGATCTCCCGCTTGGCCAAGGGCGCACACAAGGGCTGCTAGCGCGGCCCCCTGGCTGAAACCAAGGAGCCCATCAAAAGGCCCCAGTTTCTTCAGTGCCTGTGCCACGGTTCCCAAGGCTTCCTCCAGACCTCTGCACACTGTGGGATGGCTCAGGGCGTTGAAAACGTCTGCTTCCTGTTCTGAAAACCACCAGCCTCGAGGCTGCTCCTCCGGAAGGCAGGGCTCTAAAGTGATATAGGGGAAAGGATGGGGTTAGAGCAAGCGGGTATCTAGGGGAGAAGAAATGAAAAAGAGAGGCACAGAGGATTTGGGAGTGACAGGAAAGAGAGGCGGCTGAGGGGAAGGGAGAAAGTCTGGGGGAAATGAGGTGGAGAACAGGGTGGCACGGAGAAAGGGGGATGGCACATCAAGGCGGAAGCCTGTGAGGCTGGGAAGGAAGAAATGAAGGGTACGGGCAGAGGGAAGGAATGAGGCGAGGATACAGCGTGGGGGTATGCCAAAGGGTGTCGTGGAGACGACGCTAGATAAAAGACTCCGTGCTTTTCTTGGGCAGGGCCGTCTCACCGGGCAGGGCCGTCTCGCCGGAGGCTGGCCCGACGCTCTCGGGGCCCGCGGCATTCGCGACCAGGTGCGGGCCGCTGAGGCACACGAGCTCGGCGCGGCCCCGCAGCGCCTTCCTCAGGGCTCCCGTCTTCTCGCGGAAGGCCCGCTCGCTCTGTCGGAAGCCCGCCAGCCCCAACACCCGCAGCGGCCGCCGCGCCGCCATCTTGCCGGGCAACGCGCCAGGGGCCGGAAGCAGACTTTCCCCGAGCGGAAGTCGAATATGTAAGGGGCGGGATCAAATGCTGGCACCACCCCGAAGGCGGGCCATAGAGCGAGCGGGCGTTCCCAGAACAACCCGGAGGGGAAAGGTGTGGCCGGAGGAGGGGTGGATACCTGAGACCAAGGAGGGTCTACGGAATGAGGGGCGCTCCCTTTTCTTCTCGGCAGCTGCAATCGTCGCAGGCCGCTGCTGGAGTAGGGCGCGTGGGCTCCTCCTGCATCTGAGGTCCCAGACTTTGGTCAGGGTCTCAATTCTGCGACGTCCTCCACCCTGCTCCCGTGCATTCTCCGCAGCGGCCGCACGGCGGCGGCCTCGGCTCGCGTCGCTAGGGAGGCGGCCAGTGCGAGGCCGCGCCTTTGGTCTGTCCTCCTTGCTTGCAGTCCCTGCCTACCTTCGTCAGCGACGGCCGGCCCAGGGCCTGGGGGGGGCGGTTCCGTCCGTGGTTCACTGTCCACGGCCCCAAGGAACTGCCGGCGTAGAAGTCCATGGGGTAGGGTTGCTGCCAGGAAATGTCCCTCAGGGCCACCACTGCCTAGTGGGGGACAACAGGACAATAACATTTGCTGACTTTTTCTGGGCAGGATTTCTTAATTCAGTCTTCACGAAGGCCTATGAAGGTCCTATTATCCCCATGCCACAGAAAGGAAATGTGAGGCTCAGAGGGGTTAAAGGACTTGCCCAAAGCCACATAGCTAGGAAGTGACTCAGCTGTAACTAAGTGCTGTTCACCCACCCCACTCCAGATCCCTCCCTTGACAGAACCAGTGCAAAGCCCACTCTACCTCAGGGATTTTCACAACTTGGTGTTACCTCATAGGGTGTCAGCAGTGGCTTGGGGAAGGCTGTGCCCCAGTCAATGGAAAGGCGTGGACATGCCACCTGCACCCACCTGGAAAGGGAAGTCAGGTCAAACCCAAGGAGGGGAGTGCTCTCCTTCTCCTGGGCAGCAGGATGAAAAACATGACTGTGTCCCCAGCACACCCAATGAATGCTTACTATTCATTCTAAAGTAAAGATTGTCACCTAATGCTGTTTAGAATAACACTCCAGCATTGCTTGTTTTCTCCTGTTTCCTCCAGTGACTATGAGCTTTCTGAGGGCAGGGCCTGGGCAGCTCATCTGTGATAATATCCCCAGAATCAAATTCTGCAGGTGCCAACCACTCCTCAAACTCATCTCGCACGTTATAATTGCAGCTACCTGTGAGCCCCCACGCTAGAGTGGGGTGACCCATAGCCAAGGGTAGCCCCTGCTGAGTGAGTGCTCTGTAAACATTAAAATTTCACGGAAGCAATTCCCATTCACTCCAGCCTTCAATGTGTGCTGGGCAGGACTCAGATCTAAGCTTTCTTAGCCAGAGTCATAGCTAGAGAGGTAAGGGGAAGAAACTTACACATCCACCTCAGGAAACAGGCTAAGCTTGCTGGGGAAGATCTCAGAGAGCAGCAGCCTCATGAACGGAAGTCCCAAGGCTTGGAGCCGAGATTCCAGGTGCTGTTGGAAGAGGGAGGCCAAGCTCAGGTCACCATAATCAAGCAGCCAAGTCTAAATTTGTTAGCCTACTCATTTTCCCAGCTGGGTTTCTAGTCAGTTCCCTCTTCTAGAGGCCATCCCAAACCCTCTGACCTCCAGAATCTTGGGGCTGCCCTGGCGGCCCAAAGTGCCCAGGATAAGGCCCCAGGATTTAGCTGAGCGGGCTGTGGTTATGGCTTCTTGGCGGTTGGCCTGCATGCGCTGGTGGTCATAGTGCTCTCTGGATAAGACTTTGCTGTATGGGTCATATCTGGAAAAGAAGTTATCAGGGTCACAGTGACAGCCATTCACAGTACATGTTGTACACATAGCTCCCTGGCCCAGCTCCTTGGTCTGCTGAACCTTCAGGCTCCATGCAGGTAATTAGGAACAGAGGCAAGAGCAGAGACGGTCATTGGAAAGATCAGTCCCATAGCTGGAACAGGCAAAGGTGGGAGAGGGGTTTACGATCTCATTGTAAATACCAGGGGATGGGTGGGTACTGGGGAGCAGCAGCCCGGGTCCGACCCCCAGATTCAGAACCCAAGTACCTTAGATCCTTAGGGCTGCTGGCTGTGAAGTGCCAGAGAATGAGGAAGTTTTGGCCAATTGAGGACCTCAGTGGCAGGGAGTCCCACCCCCTCCCTAGTGGGTCATCCCAGCTCAGCCCATACCGGTAAGCGGGGACACTAGGGTTAGCAATCATGACAGACTCCAGATGGAAGCGGCCATCTCCAAGATATCTGCAATGGGTAGAAAGGGGATGGTAAGCGTGGAGTGGAAAGGAAGGCATTGGCTTGGAGGTCCAGACTGAGTTCTTGGCCAGCTGTGCTGGTGTGTGTGTGTGTGTGTGTGTGAGAGAGAGACAGAGGGAACTGGCATTTATTTCACCTCCCGTGAGGCCTTGGTTTCCTCACATGCAAAATAAGGAGTTTAAATCAGAGGAGTGTAAGGCCCCTCTAGTTATGTAATGCAGAATCTAAGAACTGCTCCCCACTGCTCAACCTTATGGAGGAAGGGTAGAGGGGCAGCCAGGACCATGGGAAGGCCAGTCAGGGGTCCAGAGATCCTAACTTGGAGGTGGTAGGACAGGTTCTCCCTCACCTAGCTCAACACAAACCTGGCAAGTAGTGTTCAGGGTATCAATGATGCTGTAAACATGGTTTCAGGGTAGACATTGGGTCTCTCCGCCCAAACTGGCTCTCAGGTCCTGTTACTGAGTTGTAACAACTACCGTATTGGATTTGTGCCTTGTGCACACCAGGCCTGGGCTAAGCACTTGACATGTAGGACTTCACTCAGTCTTATCAAATAATCCTCCAAGCTACCTATAGTGTCTCTCTCCATTTTACAAGAGATACAACGGATGTTCAGGGATGTTAAGAAACTTGCCCAAAGTCACACAGCTATTAAGCAGTCTATTTGGACTTGATTCTAGGTTTAACCACCAGGATGTATTCAAGCATGCCCTGAGAGATACTGTCCTTAAAAGTAGCTTCCCAGGCCATGGAGAAGCCAGAGACAAAGGACAATCTGCCATGGCAGCTCCTTCTTTCTTGGAGAGCACACTGAATTGTGATGAATGGCCAACACTCAAGAGTGTCCCTCCCTCCAACACACACCTTGAAGCCCCCAAGGGTAGGTGTCTATGAGCTCAGAATTATGCGGGCACAGGCACAGGGGGAATGCCCCTGGGGAGTAGGGCTGCAAGGTCTGGGCTGGGGAAGGCCCTGATGTGGGCCTGTCTAGGGGCAGGAGTGTTCTGTGTGGGAGCAGCAAGGCCTGTGGGGCCAGCATCTGCAGCCCCAGAGGTGGGGCTGAGTCAGGGGAGTGCCCCTCCCTGTTTCATTCCATTAGCCAGGAATGGGGCTCCCCTCCCCAGTCCCAGCCGGGGGAGCTGTCGGCTCTGAGGCTGGCTGCATTCACACAACATTAAGCATTTCCATTACCTAAAATAATTAGGCAGCAGGAGACATGCTGCTCCTGCTTGTTAGCTGTCCGGATGCTAAATTAATGGGGCTGCAGCCTGGGCGTGCCCATCTATCTTCTCCAATTATATTCCCACCATTTCTAGCCCACCTTCAGCCCCTGCTGTGAGGCCCCCTGACTCCTGCCCACTCTGGGCCTAGCCTCCTAGATGGACAGAGCACCTGAGAGGGAGACAGGAAACCTGAAACCCTATGTGGTCCCCATTTTATATGGTGACCTTGAGCAAACAGTTAAGGAGCTTTAGACTCCGTTTTCTTTCCTATATGATGAACATCAGGCTCCCTTCTAGGGTACACTTCTTATGTCTCTATAACTGGCCCCCCATTTTTCACTTACACAACAGCCTCCACCTCTTTGGGCAGGTAGGAGGACGTACAGCCCAGAATCTCCCCAGGAGATAGGGGCTTGCACTGTGGGACACTCACACGATACTCAGCTTTCAGCTCCTGGGCAGCTGCCTGTAGGGATAATGACAGAAGGGAAGCAAGTGGGTGAGGGGAGAGAGCCAGAGCCAGATGACCAGCCTGGAGCACCTCACATGGGACCCCAGGAATAGCCTGGAGGATGGTGCTATCTGTCCACTTACCTGCAAGGTTGACACAAACTGAATGGTGCTGACCAAGGCAAGGGAACTGGCTGGGGGGAAGGTGAGGCGGATAGAATCCAGGAGGTGGGTAGTATCTATCCGGATGTCCACAAAGACGTACAGCACCCGGAAGTCTTGGACCGAGGTGTCCATGGGAACTGGGAGGAGGGTAGAGATCAGGAGACTATTTTGGAAAGCCAGAGGGGCAGAGGGCCTGCCAGGGCCAAAGCCTCTGTGCAGCCAGGACCAGTGGCTTCAGCCTAGGGATAAAAGGAGGGGGTGTGAGGGGGGTGGCGGTCACAGGTCCCTCAGAAGCTCCTTCTCTGTCACTCGGCCAGGGGCCCAGCCTGCTCTACCACCAACAGCCTTTCAAACACCCACATCTGGGACAGCAACACTGTTTCCAAGGCAACCAAATCCAAAGGAAAGATCCACCTGCAGAGCAGGAAGGCCAAGGCCATCCCAGAAACTGGGAGGGACCTCCTGCCTGCAAGCAAGACAAGAAGGCACTGTGATGGAGGATTAGCATGCAGTTCTGCCCCTCTGCCTCCCTGCCAAGATCCTGGCCCACCGTACCCAGGCAGCTGTGGCCATAGTGCACCAGGAAGTCAGCTCCCAGGGCCCTTGCAGTAAAGTCATCCACACAGCAGGCCCCATACGTCACATCACCCATCACCATCGCTTCGGCCTCTGTGAACCTGTGGGGGGGACGGGGTGGGGTGGGGGGAGTGGAGCCAGGGGGAACAATGAAATGGTGACACAAGGGTGAGGTGGGAGAGAGACCTACCCCTGTGGGGTATCTCAGGGCCCAGCTCCTCTCTCCCTACCCCCCACAATCACTTGGGCTGGCAGCTGCCACTTCTGCCAACAAAGAGTAGGAGGAACCCAGCTGCCACATCCCCCAGTCCTGGCAGCAGCTCCTGGAACTGTGTAGCTCTATGAGGATGGTCTCTGTAGCACCCAGTTCCTCTGTCCAAGCTCAGATTGCAGAAAGGACCCCCACCCCTCAGCTGGGCATACACGGGGTCAAATACAGACCTCTGATGCCCCGATCATCCCACCCAGAGCAATGAGTGCGTATACACATGCAAAGGCACCCACTCCCAGGCCTTGACACTGTGGTGTGCGCGGGCAGGCACGTATGGGTACACACAGCCTCCCTGTCACCCAGACCCCCTGCTACAGGCTGGGATCCCCACCCTTAGTTAGGGCCCTCTGTGCCCAGGATGGGGGGACCCATGAACAGCTCCCCCACAGCACATGGCACCACCCACATACCTCGTGCGTCAGAAAGAGTGGGCTCTGGCCAACACATTGCCATAAGATCTGCTGCCAGGCCTGAATCACTAGGGGACAGGGGTGGGTGGGGAAGACCCCACACTCCCCAAATTCACCATGGTAATGCAACTGGAGGACCAGTTCTTCCCTGAGAGACCCACCCCTGGGGCGTGGGGCCTGGCTTGGTGACCAGAGTCTCCCCATTCCTCTCCTGGGGGGTGTGGTGGGGAAAGCTGAGCTACTGTCAGTCAGCATCCGCCCCTCCTCCCCCTTCCCCAAATCAGTCTGTGCACAGAAGCAGATTATTCAACTCCTTAAAATGCAGCCCAGGCATCTGAGTCAGCCAGAGCACTTAATTTTTTATAGATTAAAATGTATGCAAATTGGCCTGAGCCCCAGAGAGCATCCCCAAGGGGCAAGAGGGTGGGAGCTGGGAAGTGAGTCTGTGGCAGCAGGATGAGAAGCAGGGTGGGGGAGGGCAGCAGCAGGGAAGTGGGAGGTTCCCATCACGAGATGACCTCCCCTTTCTCCATTCCCCCTCCCTGTTCCAGTGCTGGTTCCAGATGGCTGAGCACTCTCCACCCCCGACCCCCAAGGATGTCTCATTGTAATGAAGAAACTTAGAGGCAAGAGGAACTGAATACCATCTCCTAGACATTTCTCCCGCACCAAGCCCCTCTTTGCCCTACTCCCGCAAGTGTGCCAGAGAAAAAAGTTCACCCTGGCTAGACCTGATGCTGACAACTGAGCTCATTCTGGGTCAGCACCAAGGATTCTTAGGTTCCTCTTCAGACCCCACCACCTGCTCTGGACTCAGCTTTGAAGATACTGGAATTGACTCATTCCTCCCCCCTAAATATTTTAGGGAAAGAGAGTTATATGGACAAAACCAAGCAGGACAGGCTGGGATCTCAGCAGGCTGGGAGTTTAGTTTTGGCTTTTTCCCTTTGTGTGTGTATGGTTATGGGAGGGGATAGGGTAAGGTCAAGGTCCAGAAGGAAAAAAATGTCAACAGGCAGAGCTGTAACAGGCATGGGGAAAACCTTGGCTCAGCTTCTTCTCCAGTGCCCCAGGCCTCACCTTTCCAAGATATCCACAATGGTGCAGGCAAAAAGGAGAAGGCCTTCAGGCATTTGCAAGGCCACTGAAAGACAAGAGCAGAGACATGAGAGCCGAGGGCTGGAAAAATGCTGGGATGGGGCTACTACCCCTGACTGAGCCAAGCAACCTCACCACCCCTACCCCATCTCAAAGCTTGAGGGCTCACCCTTCTTGGCCTGAGCCTGTTGAATCCTCCAGATGGTCTTGGGAATCTCAAAGTTATAGTTGGAAGGCAAGACTTGAATGGCTGCCTGCAGGTGGGGGTTGTTCAGGATCTCAGGGGGGATCTGATTGGCCAAGCGTCCCCGAGGTGCTCGACCTAGGACAACGCAAGGCCTGAGTTGGCTCCTGGCCTAAAACAGAGCCAGACCCAGCTAAGCTGTTAACACCACCCAAGTTTCAAGCCCAGATCCCAGATGCCAAGGGGCTTGGCCCAGCCTTCTTCCCCACTGAATTCATTCTGAAGCTGGAAAGAGAATCCATTAAGCAAGGAAGACAGCTGCATAATTAGTTTCCAGGTTGAGAGATTACTGGCATCAGAAACTTAAGCCCATGAATGGGGCATAGTTCATACCTTACCTCTGGAGAACAGAAATGATACCAGGAGACTGTACTGAGGACAAACAGAAAAAAGTCCACACAACTGCTCCTTGATAAAGAACAACTCTGAGGGAAAGCCTAGCCACCCTAGCACCCTGGGAAAATGTCTCTCTTCCCTTAGTCCCTGAGAACACCTTGAAGTTCTGAGGTCCTAAATATGAGATGTATAAGCCAACTGTTACAAGTACTACAAGTACTATTTTAAAAGACTACCCTCTTTTATTTTTTTAAGTTTATTTATTTATTTTGAGAGAGAGCTCACAAGCCAGCAGAATCCCAAGGCGCCCCAAAAGACTGCTCTCTTTACTCATGTCCCACTGACTAGGTCTACACGGATGAATTCCTACACTCTTCCCTCTCCTCATTTAAAAGAGAAATAAATGGGGCGCCTGGGGGGCTCAATCAGTTGAGTATCCGATTCTTGATTTTGGTTCAGGTCATAATCCCAGGATTGTGGGATTGAGCCCCACATCTGGCTCAGCGATGAGCATGGGGCCTGCTTAGGATTCTCTTTCTCCCTCTGCCCCTCTTTGCACTCTCTAAAAAAAATGAAATAAAGTTAATAATAATGATAATTAAATTAGATTAAATTTTTTAAAAAAGGGAAACAAACAACAAACATTTAACTGACTTAACAAGTTCCCTAGTCCCATAGTTCCACCCCAGGAAAGATGGAAAGAACACACTCTAATTAGGACTGGGGGCAAACAGGTAAAGACAGAGAAGTGATTTTGCCCTTTAGGGGCTGGTAGTCTAGTGGGAGCAAATGCAGGTATGCAAATTACAACCCTTTGATTAAAGAAAACAGTGTAGCCCATAGCAAAACTGCAGCCCTTAATTTGCATCCTACTCTCCACAGTTCAGTTTAGCTCAACCCCTATTATATCTTTAGGAACCAGATAGTTTGGGAATGTGACAAGGAAGGCAAGAAATGTATTGAATGAATATTTACTGAACCTGTAGTTTGTGCCAGAACTTCTGCTAGGGCCCTTGACTACTATGGGAGGGTTGCTCCTAGACATGACCCTTCACCCTCTGCCTGTGGATGGATGGTGGTAGTGATGATGGTGCAGTGGAGAATTAGCATGGCAGGCTGGGATCCTGAGACCAGAGGTGAATGTTACCCCTGCCATCGTTTTTGTTCAGTTGTTTCGAAGGCCTTCGAACAACCAGCTCAGAACCCTGGGCCCCTCACAAAAGCTCCTCTGACAGGGCCAAGTCCTTTGTGGTCTTGGGGGTGTGGGAGCTGCTGGCCTTAGTAGCTCAATTAGTCCCCAGGACCAGTAGGCTCCTCCTCCTTTATCACGTGCCTGTAATCTTATGTTTACATCAGCATTCTCCGGTAGACAGAGGTCCTGGAGGGCAGGACTGTCGTCTAGTCCCTCCATCCAGTAGAGGCCTGGCATTCAGTGGGCCCTCAGTAAGTGCCTGGTGAATGAAACCCGCTTCTTTCCTGAAAGCACTGCCTGAGGGCCCACTTGTTCTTTTCCTCCCGGTCGGGTCCGCCTTATCCGTGAGTCCTCCTGAGCCTGTCTGCCCGCCAAGGCAGGAGGGCAGCGTTTCCGGCGTGAGCACTACAGGCTCCTAGGAAGGGCTGCTCCCGATCGAGCCCGAAGACTGCAAAAAGGAAGACCGGTCCCTCTGGGCTCCAGCGAAAGCCGCGGTACCCAGTGACCGCGGGGCCCTCGGGGTCCGGTGGAGAAAGGCCGCCGCTGTTAGAGGGGGCTGGTTCTGTCCCTAACTTGAGGGCCCTAACCTGCGATGTGAGGTCTTGCGGCCGCAGAATGGTAGTACTTACCTCTGCCAGGGCCGCTTCGACCGCCGGACTCTGCAGCCACCGACTCCACCAGCGCCGCCATCACTGGCCTGCCCACGTGGAGATCAAAAAGGCAGCGCTAGAAGAACGCGGAGAGCTCAGACATTGCGATCAACCGCCGATCGCTAGCGAGGGGCGGGAATTTGCTGGGCGGGGACCAGGAAGGAGATGATAGGGGCGGGGCTATCGCAAGTCCCTCTTAGCCCGGAAGGACGGGGCTCTCCCAAGCCTCCAGAACACAGCAGTTACGCTCTCCTGGCTGCCCAGGCTCCTCCGCTCAGCTCCCGGCCCGCCCGACCTGGCATTCCCAGGCCAGTGCTCCTCTATTTGCCGACTCCTTGCCCGAATTCTACAGTCTGTCTTGTGAATGGTGACACCCCCCCCCCCCCCCCCCCCCCCCAAGTCTCCCTTCTGCTCCTCTCCCAGTATCCCCTCCTGGTAAGCAGTGGAGGCCATGTAGGTAGGCCACATTCTCTAACTCAGAGGACCCCACTGCCCAAACAAGACAGAACTCAGCTCCACTCAGCCCAGCTCCAAATTGAGTCCTGGTGCTGATTTCAGGAGCACCAGAGGGCTCTTACCTTTAGAACCAAGTGTGGAAGGTTCCCATATGAAAAACTACCAATTTGGGAAGACCCCAGATCTGAGGGTGCTTTCCTGGGGCAGGGAGACGGTCCAAGGATTTGAACAGCCTAAACTGTTTGGATTCTGGCCAACATAGCTCTGCCTAGGCTGCCCCACAAGCCTAGATAGTCTTTCTCTGGCTTGGGCCTGGGCTCCTGTGATCCCAAAGAGAAGGCAGAGTGGCCAGTGAGGCAGCCTTGACGTTTGGAAGAGCAGAGTACCTGCAGGACTGGCCCTCAACAAGGTCTGCCCTAGAGAGCAAAGGTCCCCCAGGGCTGTTTGCCCATCCAGCCCTCTGGCACCATCTTCCTCTTTTGGTGGTGGTGATGTGAGCACTGCTGGCCCTTTAAGGTAGCTCTGTGGCCTCAGGCTCCCCTGGAGGCCCTCCTTGCTTGGAAACTCCTAATTAAAGTGCATGGAGAAGTGAAAAACAAGCAGCCAGGGACAGGGCCTGCCTGGGAGGCTGCCCAGAGAAGAGGGATATATGGGCTGGCTGAGAGTGAGCAGCCAAGAGGAGGGCCAGAAAGGGTCGATGCTCTGCCCCTCAGGCCACTGACCGATGCTCTTAGGACAGTTACAACTTTGGACTGAACTGTGGCCAACATCGGTCTCAGGAACACCCCTCTTGCCTTGATAAGAGTGCAGCCCGGAATGTCCCTGGTTCTTTGGACCCCGAGGGTGCAAGATCTCAATTCCAGGGATCCCCTGAGTCCAGCCCTTCCCCCTTCAGGACACGAAGTCCCAGCCAACGGGCAGCTTTAGTTCGGGCTGCAGCTGTGAGTTTGGCAAGGGGGTGGGTGGGGATTGACTCTAGCAGAGTAGTGGCTTCTCCCTAGCAAGCACACCACCCCTTAGGGTCTTTCCCTAGGCAGAGGTGGGGCCTGTTGATGATGGAAGGCCCCCATCCTCATAACATTGCCCTACAGCCTCTGTGCTGAATGAGCTGTTCTTGCACCCATTAGGAAACCAGGTGAGGTCTAGAAGAACTAACATGTCCCCCAAGATACTGCAGTGAAGGACATTGAGGGCTGCCATTCAACTTGGGCTGAGAACACCTCCATCTGTTTGTGGGGGGTCTCCCTGCCTGAGTTACTCAGCAGTCTGAGTAATTACTGCCTGACAAGAAGGCAGGCACAGTGCACCCCCACGTTACACCACAACACCCGCCTACAGTCACCCCCACCCCCTGGCTGGACTCCAAAGCAGCATCCAGCCCTCCTGAGGCCTGAAATAACTCTGCTTCTCACACTCACGCCCAGCCCCAGCCAACTTTGCCTAAGATGCTAGAGTTTGTGGGGCAAGGGGGTTATGGGGAGGCAGCTCATGGAGTTGGAAGGAGGATTAGCATACCCTGATTCAGGCCTACACTTTGGCACTGATCTGCTCTGTGACATTGAGCAAGTTGTTCAGACTCCCTGAGCCTCAGTTAACTCATGGAGAGCCTCTGCAGTGCCCAGTGCCTTAAGTTCAGCTTTAATGTCTGCCTGGCAGGGCTCAGGCAGGGTGTGAGGTCAGTCCAGCCCTGCAGCTGGTCAAAGCTAAGAGAATGCCTCACCTTCAGTTCATCCCAAGATGGACCAATCTTTTTTTATTTTTTTATTTTTATTTATTTTATTTTATTTTATTTTAATTTTTTCATGTTTTATTTCTGAGAGACAAAGAGAGCGAGCACAAGTAGGGGAGGGCAGAGAGGAGGAGACAGGATCTGAGGCAGGCTCTGTGCTGAGAGCAGAGAAGCCAATGTGGGGCTTGAACTCACGAACCATGAGATCATGACCTGAGGGCAAGTCAGACGCTTAACCGGCTGAGCCACCCAGGCGCCCCTTTTTTTATTTTTTTAAAGTTTATTTTGAGAGCGAGAGAGAGCAAGAGACAGCACATGTGAGCAGAGGAGGGGCCAAAAGAGAGGGAGAGAGACTCCCAAGCAGGTTCCACACTGTCAGTGTGGAGCCCAACATGGGGCTCGAACTCATGAACTGTGAGATCATGACCTGAGCTGAAGCCAAGAGTCAGACGCTTAACCGACTGAGCCACCCAGGCACCCCCATGATGGACCAATCTTCTTAATCTTCAGAACAGAGTTACTTTTTCCACTACCAAGCATTTGCACATTCTCTTCTGCCTGGAATGTCCTTTTTCCTTCTCCGCCCTCAAGACCCAACCTAAATGGCATCTCTTTAGTGAAGATTTCCTTGATGGTCCTTCACCCCCTTACAAAGCTAGCAGAGCCCCCTCCCACACTTGATGTCTCCTCGTCATATTCTAAGATGGCTTGTGGGTCTTTCTTCCTAAACTATGCCATAAGCTTCTGGAAGTCCGTATCTATGTAGTTAGCTCAAATACAGAGCCTGGGTGCCATTGAATGCACGTGTGAATGAATGATACTGGCCTTCTTTTGAACCTTCCTATCATACCAAGTTTTTCTCCATGGAATCACAACTCATTCTCACTTCAGTTAGCTCTCTTAGACATCACCTGCTCAAAGCAGCACTCCCTGACCCCCTCATATCAACTCTGTACTATATCCTGCTTTTCTTCCAAGCACTGCCTGATCTCGACTTTTTTCATTTGCTCTCTATTAACTATAAACTCCAAAAAGGCAGAGACCTTGTCTTTTCCATTGGCTGAATCCCTAGGAATAGTAGTGTCCCACAGGATAGACCCTCAATAAATGTGTATTGAATGAGTGACTTAGCCCACTTTTTCCTTTCCTAGGACCCCTCTTATCCCAGGCCAGTAGGGGGTGCCGCCTCCACCCAGGATCTCTCCAGGCCTGAACCTTCTCAGCTCAACTCAACTGGCCCCCCATGGGGCCAGCTTTCTAGGCGGTGCCTCCACCATCTTTCAGGAAGCCCCGGGCGGGGTCTGTGTAGACTGAAGGAGACCAGGGAACCCCCTAGGCGGGGATAGCCTACTTGAGCCCCACTTTGGTTCTTCTCTTTCTCTAGGATTTACAACTGGGCCTCACTGAATGCTTGCTGAATGGACTAGACCAGCCTGGGCGTTCGCCACACCTCCCCCCGCCAAAAGAATAGTATCGGGGGACGGTGGATGTGAAGCGGCTGGGTCCGCGGAAGCTGTCCTGGGCGAGGAGGAGCCGTCGAGCCTCCGAGAAGCAAGCGGAGCCGGCTAGAGAGGATATGGGCAGGGGTGCTGACTTGTGACTGGGGTCTCATGGCGGTTGTCTTCCTGCCCCAGCTGGTGGGCAGAGCGCACGCTTCCAGCCGCCTGTCTCGGTGACCTCCAGCCGGGAAGGGCGAGCGGGCGGGGGTTGGGCTGCGGGTGCGAGCTCCGGGAAGCCCGAGGGGCCCGGGAGGGGCTTTCGAGTGACCCGACGGCCGGCCCGGGGCTGGGGCAGGTACTTGGACCAACGCGGGCCAAAGATCGTCCCCGGGGGCGGGCGCCGCGAAAACACCTTGGGAGGCGGCGCCGTGCGGCTGAGCGCCGCTGCCCTGGGAATAGGACGGCGCTCGGCACCGCGAGCTGAGAGCACTTTCATAAATTTTGTATGGGAGGCGCTCCGTGAGCGGGGGCGGGGAGCGGAGCGAGAGGGAGGGAGCTAGCGAGCGAGCGAGGGAAGGAGGGAGGGAGGAGGAAAGGTGGGGGAAGCCGGGGGGTTGGGGGGAGGAAGGGAGGCGCCCCGCTCCGCCGATCACCGGGTCCTGCAAACGCGCGCCGGGCGCTTTCCCCGGAGCTCGGCGGTGCGTGCGAGCGCCCTTTTGCAGCAGCCGCGGCGGCGGCGGCCCGAGGGGGCGGAAAGGAGGGGGCCGCAGCCCGGCGGCCGGGCGGCCGGGGGGCGGCGTCCCCTCTCAAAACCGCCTGCAAAGAGCTCGGGGCTGCAGAGGCAGGCCGCCGGCTCCGCGGAGCAAGCCGCTTGTCCCGGGGCTGAACGAGCGCGCCGGGCTGCCAGGCAGCGCCGCGGTTGCTAGTGGGCGCCGGTGCCCTCGGCGCGGGGCTCGGGCTCACCATGCCCCTGAGGGGCCTGGCTGCCGGGCACAAGCGGATCCCCGGCTTGCCCCCGCCTCGACGCGCTCGGATTAGCTGCAGCCGGCGCCCAAGGATTTGAATCCGGACTCCGGGAGGGAGCGCGCCTAGGCCGACCTCGGAGTGGCGGCCCCACGGCCAACATGCTTCGCAAAGGTGAGTTGGAGCTGAAGGGGCAAGTTGGAGTTGAGTGTGCACGGGACAGAGCCGCGAGGCTGGGAGCCGCCTGAGAGCTGCCCGGCGCCGGGGCTCCTGGCCGGGGAAGCAGCCCCTGGCGGGCTGGCGGGCTTTGCGGGGACGCACCTGCGGAGGGGTTGCTGCTGGAGCTCAAGCCCCTGTCGGTGACCAGTTGCGAGACACGGGATTTGCTCCGTGGATCTAGCGGCCAGGCCTAGGGATCTGGCTCGGCGAGGTCATTTAGAGACCACAGTGAGCTGCCCATGATGGAAGGGGAGGTGGCCTTCTGGGACCTTTGCTTTGCCATTATAAAGTTTTGCAGTTGCAGGCTCCATCCCCTGCGCGGGCACATGCTGCCAGTTCTGCCGCTTTGACCGTGCCGGGTGTAGCCCGCGCTCCAGTGCGGCCAGCGGTCAGTGACCGCGGGCCCGGGCGCTCACTGCGCGCCCTCGCTTCTCAGGCGGGGCCCGGACACGGGCACCTTTCCTGCAGTCTGCTTTGGTCCTCAGGGACGGGCTCTGGGTACCCAGCAGCCGAGGGAAGGTGGCCAGCGCCTGATGTCCGGTTCTTCAAAGTTTCCTCTCTGACTGGAGCAGAAAAAAGCGAAGGCGGGGGGCAGCGCGGGTTGCGTGCGCGGCAGGTGCCAGGCTCAACTTGAGGGGAGCTGGCCCCGCGCGACCACCTAACCACGACCCTCCTTCTCCCTCCGCCGCCCGGCTCATTGCAGAGCGTTGCAAAGTTGGCGCGGGTGCTGGGGAAGTCCCGCCGCGCCCCCACGTGGCTGCCGCGCGGGGAGCTGTCCCCAGGGCCCAGGGAGGGCAGGTGACCACGCCGTGAGCCCGCAAGCCCCGTCTCCAGCTACCCCGGCCTCTGCGTCTGCCTCCCTCCCTTTCCAGGTCCGGGCGAACTGCGGCGCTCCGCCGGGACCCTCCCGTCCCTGGACCCGGCCGGGTGGCCGGCGAGTCTCGGCGCCTGTGTCTGGCGACCCGGGCCCTGCGGGAGCCGGTTGAGGCGAGAGCTCAGGTAGCTGAGGGGCCTGATCCCTGCGCTCAGCGCTCCTGCCTTAATCCGCCCCTGTTTCCATGGCAACAGACCGAGGTGTCGTAAGCACAGGATTCTGACCTCACAGTAGGATAGGGAAGGAGAAAACGGGCAGGGGGAGGTGGCGGAGGAATGGGAAGCGAAGCCTCAAGATGGGCGGAGAGGAGCAGGCGTGGGGGTCACGGAGGAGACCCCACTAGCAGGTGGGACAGGTGGGTGAAGAAACCACACCTTCGCTGGACGCAGTAAAGGCTCTGTGGTGGTCCAGGCTTGCTCAGGCCTACCGGGAAGCCTTGGTTGCCCCATCGTGTCAATAGTCACAAACTTGTGTGTGACTTGTGTCTTCCACGTGGGCCTGGGCAGTGCGGGGGAAACGCTGGCTGCCTTTTACCGTGGTGTGGGAAAAGTCCCTGCGGCTGTTTGGAGAAACCACTTCACGGATACACCCAGTTCCTTTTCTCTGCAGAAAGAGACTAAAAGTCCTTTCAGCAGCTAGCGGTGCTGGCCTGAGTGCACACAGAAGGGGCTTTTTACAGAACTGAGCAGAAGCCCAGGTCTGAGAAGCTTCGGCCTGGAGTGTGTAGACTTGCCCTGGTGCGTAAGGCTTCCCAGGCAGTTTTAAAAAGCCGCCATGTCTGGGTTGCCTCGTCTGTGATGGAGATAATAGAGGGAAACTGACATCTCATTTTCCTTTTGGTCTGTGTTGTCTTTTGGCAGTTTCTAGTTTAAAGTGAGCCACAAAGCAGCCCATGCACTTCATTTATATGGCTTAGGTGCCCAGGGAGGCTTGAGTAACCTCCAGGAGCCTGTCTTTCCCATCCAGAGACCCAACCTGGAATGAGCCCAGTGCATCCTGGGGGCTGCTCCCCTTGGAGGAGACTCACTTACCCTGCTCAAGAGGTGGCTGCTGGAGGCTTGGCAGTCATATGTGTTCACCACTTGGGCTATTTTTCCCTTCCTTCATGGCTTGGTTGATGAGAGAGTTTCTTCCAGCAGAGAGTTTCTTCCAGCAAAGAGGTTTCCACCTGGATTGACCAGGGGAAAACAGAGCAGAAAAACCTTTTGCTGGGCTATGCTCGACTCCAGTGGCCTGCAGCCTTCTGCTGGGACATTGTGTGGGCAAAGTACTTTTATTTTGGTCCTTTGCTGGACACTCTTCTCTCTCTGTCCCTGATTGTGATCACCAGGACTTGTTTCTTTTGCACACATGTACAAGACACTTGGATTCTCCGTGTGGATTCTAGGTATGTGCTGAAAGCCAAAGGTATGCCTGAGGCCAATGCCAAGGGAGGTGGCCATTGAAGTGTTTGCTTCTCGGATTGTTCCCCAAAGCTCCAAGCAAAATGTTACAGGGTGGGTTCAGACAATTGTTGCAGTTTCCCTGCCTATCAGCTGCAGGGCCCTGCATGGGGTCCTAGACCGGAGGGAGTTTTATAGTCCAGCTTTGGAAGAGGGTTTGAAAAAAGAAAGAGCTGCCATTCCTAGATCCTGGGAGCAGGGTGGAAGAGAAAAACCCTCTTTTCTGTAAAGGGTTGGGCTCGTGGGCTTGACAATGGAGTGCTTTGTGGATTTAGGAGGCTCAATGTCTGAAGCCCCAGAGGAGGAAGGCAGTGAGCGTAGGCATTCGGTCATGAGGGTCATTGCTCTGATTTCTGGTTGTCCTGTTACAGCAAGCTGGGTCCTGTCTTCTGGCAGGACATTTTAGGAATTGCGTGCGCTGCATCCCTTCAGGAAAGGACTCTACTGGCCACAGCCCCACCTCTGTGAACCAGAACAGCCTGAGTCGTCAGTGGATCCTGCTGCTGACAGTGCTAGTAGCTGAAGGCTTCAGCTGCTGCCTGCCCTCTTTTCCATCTCCTGGCCTACCCTGGCAGAACCAGGGATATAAAAAGCAAGCCTCTGGTCAGAGATGAGAGGCAGGCAGAGCAAGCCAGGCCCCGAGCCACCCAGCACCATCCAGGAAGAAAGAGCAGCCCTGTTGGGGGTTTTGCTTTGCCAGAAGTGGCCTGCTTAAGGTCAGGATCTATGGTTTTCATTTTTAGAGCTATAAAAACAGAATGCAAATCAACAGCCTCTGGGCTAATAAAGAACCTGTCCTTAAAGTTTTTGTCTTGTTAAGCAAGGAAATAGAGTGCCAAATAGGCTTTGTTAAGTGGCAGTCTAATTAATAATTTAAAATCTTGTAGCTGTCTTTCATTAGAATTTATCTGTACATCAACCACAAAATCAGTCAAACACACTCATTTATAAGTTAATGCCATCTTTGAATAATTCAGCAAGAGCTAGATGAAGGTCTGCAATCCAGTAAGATGCATTTTGTTCTTTTGGTTTCCATAGCCAGATGGGCTGGCCTGGTGGCTGGATTGGGTCTCCTTTGTGTAAAGAAGGAGGGGAGGCCGAGGGAGGAAGGGACCATGGGGTTGTCAGTGCTTCGTCCATTTGATCCCTGAGGTTCCCTAGGTGACCTGAGAGTCTCCGTGTGGCCAGGGGTGAGCAGGCTCCATCTCCTGGAGCTATCCATAACATGGCCCTCTTTAGCTCTGATGGAGAGGAGAAGGGAGGAGTGTTCCACCAACAGCCAAGACACTTCTCTTTCCGCTGCAGAGGAAGTGTAGAGCGGAAACACAAGAGCCCTGCTGGAGAGGGTTGAGATATGAGGCTTTTGTATCCCAAACCCCGGTGCAGAAGTGGAATTTCGGTCTTCCCAGCCTAATTCTGTCCCGCTCAGGGAATGCAGCCTGGTGGAACCAATGTCACCAAAACAGCTTCTATCATTGGGAGCCTCTGGGCTGCTTCTTTCCTCAAAGTTCCTCGTCCTTGTGCCGGGAAAGAGAAGCCAAGAGGAGGAGTTTTAGGGGAGCACCGGGACACAACCAACAGAAGAAGAGAGGCAGAGCGGGTTGCTAAATAAAGCCCATGCATGCATTTTCTCATCAGGAGCCAGAATAAAAGCAAGGAAGGCAGCGTATTGTTTCCCTTGTGAGCTCAGACCACACAGAAAATGTGTTTTGGTTCGATTCCTGTCATGCCAATACGTGGCCAAATCCTCATTGCAGCTCTCAGGTCCATTTTTGACAGACAAGCTGTTCCAGACCCAAACTCCGAGCATGGGCACACAGGCTCCTGCACTGCAGGAAGGAATCCCGGAGTTTGTGGTCTCCATCTCGGGCTGCTGCTCCTGAGCCCTCTAGAGGGTTCAAGGGCACTATTTATGGACACCAGGTAGATAACTGGAGCAGACGGTGGACTTGACACCAGCAGAGGTTCTTGGCCAGGTTCGAAAAGGGGAAGTCTTGTTAGGAAGAGGAAAATGCAGGTGTCTGTCCCCTGACCTGTGGCATAGTTGACAGCAGATGAGGCTGAGGAGGGAGGCTTGTGGGGTGAATTCAACTCTGAGCTTTGGAGTCACAGCCTGAAAAAGGACACAGCAGAAGTTCCCTTGCTGGAGATGAGAAGGAGGGGGCAGGCATCATGAAGGATGTCAAGAACGGATCTGTTTGGTACCATCTGCAGCAAAGTAGTGGTTAAGGTTAAAACAGAGAGGAGATGACAGGGAGAGAACAGATGGCCAAGGAAGCAAAATAGCTGGTGAAACAGGAACAGAGCCTCCAGGGACAGCAGAAGGCAGGACCTCCGCGCAGAGTGCCGGAAGCAGCCCTTTCTCGGGTGCGCTGGCCAGGCCACCCTGAGTAGAAGTGAGTCGGAGAGAAGAGTGGGACAGGGACTTCAGGGTGAGGGTTTCCTCAAGGCCTGGGAGAAGACCCAGGGAGACATTAGCTCCAAGGTTAAGGGGCCCAGAGCAGGGACTTCCTTGGATGCCTTTGAATTGGGGAGAGGAGGCACGCTGACTTGGTTGGTGTCCATCACCACAGCAAGGCAAAGCCACCTTGGGTCTTAGAGCATGCATGGTTGAACCCACTGGGAGGAGGTATGCATGCTGGCTGGAAACAGGGGCAGCAAAGATCCACTTGTGCCCATCCGTGTCCATGCAGTGGCAATAGCTGCTTGTAATTACTGATGGGCCGGGCTAAGTGACGCC